AAATAAAATTCCTGCCTGCTTTTCTACAAAAGTTTAGGGGTAGAGTTTCACTTCACATCTTTATGATTTTCAGTTTTTACCAAGTTGCTGTTGAGGTTTTCCTCAAAAAGTCTTCCTTTCCTAATTAAATGCAGTGATGTCCTTATACTGTGCTTGCCATATCTTTAGACTCTGCTTTAGAGAGGTAATACACTTCTCCAAAAGGTAGTCCAGTTCTGTAGCGTATGTGGATAATATGATATCAGATGGCAGGAACACCAAAACATGTCATTGCATCTCTGTTGAATGGCATGCTTCTGGGACTGAGGTTGTCTGCTCTGGGATCCCTGGGCTTCCTTTCTCCTAGTGCACGGGTCCCAGCAAGAGACACAAATGGGGAAACTTCCAAAATCCACTTGAAAGTCAGAAAAGCAATGTAGTAGCAACTAAAAACCACTTTCCAGATTGCTTATCCCTTCTGTGGCTGTTCCTAACGCTGGCAGCTGTACTGTATGTATCCAGTTCAGACAGGTTCACAAGTCCCCTGTCTTGGGTGCCACCATTCATTGCAGGTAAATTTCAATTGGATTAAAATACCTACTGCAGTGAACCTTGTTACCCAAACAAAAGAAGCTTTCAGATCAACATGAATACATCTTCCTAATTTTTATCCCAGACCTCTGTTTTGTCTTGTAACAATGTATCTCTTTTAATTGTGTATTCAGAGAAATGAATTGCAACTCATTTCATCTGTCCCAACAGCTGTCCTTTTTCAATTAAACTCCCCCTTGAAGACTTACTTTTTTTATAAGGCTCACAAGATGTAAATCAAAACCAATATTACTAGTCAAGCCATGTTTTCATTTTAGTGTTTTCCCATGTACTGTTTCGCTTTGAACAAAATTGGTAGAGCAGAGACTGTCTCTCCAGTAACACAAAGAGTATTACCAATATTTCGGCAACAATAGCTAATTCCAAATAGTAATTCAGACATTACCAAGAAGCGATTGAAGAAATGATGTTTAATTTATTCATTGGCAAAGCCTATTGTGTGATAATTGAATTGCATTTCATATTATGTTACAGAAGAACCATTATTTCTAGGCAGGATTCTTTACAGTGAAGAACAGATCAGCTTCAATTGAAGTTGATATAAAAGTGTTTAGAAGCATGTGGGAAGATCACAAGATCAGGCAGATCTGGGTTCTTGATGCCATTATTAAAAAATATTCATCATGAGGGTTCTAGTTCTCCTAAGGAAGTTGTTAGGCACACATAATTCAAGGAAATCTCATCAGAGCCTTATCAAAGACTGCATATTAGTAATCTAGTCTTTATGGAAGCAAGGATTGTTTACTATACTCCAGAGGCAGAAATAGGTGTAAGGAAGAAGAACCACTCCTAATAAACTTACATAATTAAAATAGAACAAAAGAAAAAAGTATAATACAAAAAGACCAAGAGTTTGGTATGCTGTGGCAGAAGAGCACTGTTAACTGTGTATTAATGCTACAGTTGGTGTTAATTCCTTGTGGTTGAAAAGTGTGAAAAATTGCAACAAGTAGTAAAATAGCCAAATGTATATGTCAATCTCTGAGTGTGGAGCATTTATAAATCATCTCTCTTGAGGAGACTAGAACAGTCTATTTCTATAGAATCTGCAATTTACAACAGGGAAGTAAAATTGCCAGGAAAAAGTCTGTCAGTATTGAGCGTCAGTAAAGATTTAATGAATTATATCTTTCTCATCACAATCGAATTTTCTTTTAAAGACTGTATGGATTGTTTTCATCACCTGAGACAAATACGGACATTATTTCACAGTCAATATTGTCTAAACTTTTGAAAACAAAACTTGTACTTGTTTTTGTAGAACAGCTCAGCTTGCTCATATTAAGGGAGTCAGAACTGGCTGTAACTATTGTCTGCAGCATAAATGCTAACTTCACCCCAGAGGAACAGAGCTGCTGCCAGTAAATAGCAGTAATTCCCTTCCTGGCTGATAGCTGTTGAAGACTGTTTTCCAAGATGAACAAAGATGCTGTTAGCACTACTACTGCTGAACTTTGCAGCCTCCTTTTTAAACTGTGATCAAATTCAATTTGATTTCAAGATATAATATTGTCACTCTACACAATTTTTGCACTACTAATTATGGTTTTGAAGGCGGTAGTTTATAATCTTTTACAATGTATTGCATTCTGATGTTCCTGCAATTATTAAGGCACCTGGGTTTTCATTAAAGCAGGAGACAGTATTTCTAGTGTTTTAGTGCAAAATGTGCTAGTCAGTTGCCCCTAAACCATGTTTCATGTCTGAAGTAAGAACTGTCTAAATGCGCTTTAAGTCAGTGTCTTTATGTTTTTGGGATTAGCACTAAGACTTTAGTACCTGGGTAACTTGGGACAGAAATATACTCTATGTGCAGCGCTGTGAACCACAGAAGAGGGCTGACAAGAAAGCTGAAGAAAATCTAGATTTAATAAAAGATTTGGGGTGTTTTGTGCTGAAAAGGGAAGTAATCTGTGAATGTGATGAAAGCATTTATTTCTCATGTACTTCCCTCAATAAGGATTATATGCAGCCTTAAGCACATTCTTTGCCTTATAAAAAAATTTACAAAATACTTGCTGGTGTTATTCATACCAAGATGCTCTTTGAAGTACTACTCTTCAATGTGTGTTTATAAACATTTTTACTATTTGGCTGTAAGATTGATTTCTGTCATTCTGCTTTAAGAGGGGTCTTATGCTCACAGTATGTGTTCTGGGTTGTTTGTTGGTTTTTTTTTTGAGGAAATGCATGCTTTATGATTAATAGGATTACACTGCAGGCTTATTTAATTGTCATCTGGAGATTTTATATAAGCATTAATTAAAATAGATAAAAATCTTCATAGTTAATGACGCATTAACATTGTTCAAAAAAAATCTAAATAAAAGTGGATACAACAGCATATGAAATAATTGCGCCTAAAAGAAATTATATGTAACAATAGAAACACTTGATGTTAGACACAATTGTTGGTCAGCAAAATTTGAAAATTAACAAAGCTACAAAAAATTATACTTGCAAAATTCTTGAATAAATGATTGCTACTTGTCATGTAAAGCTTAAGGGAAAACATTTATTGTGGGCATTCAGTTGTTCTGTTCTAATAGCACTGAGAGTTAGTATTAAATTTGCCCCTTAGAGCAGTACAAATTAATGAAAAATTACTCTAGATTAGGAATTTCAGACTACCCAGATATTTGCCTATACATTTTCAGCACAGCACTTCTTGCAGCTTATTATTCTTTCATACAAATCCCAGCATCTGCATGCTCCACACACTACAAAAAGATATGTTTCATGAACTGTGAACAGCTCTTTTGTTAGTATGTGCCTTGTAGGAACTATGGTGTGTGCACAGGAGTTTGAGGCTCTCACCAGTGCTTGCAAAGGCTGTGTTGTTACCCACAGATTTGCTAGTAGGAATGTTTATTGGCAGCAGTAGGATCATAAGGGTTGGCAGGGACCTTAAATCTAGTTTCAACCCCCTGCCATAGTCAGTGACACCTTCTATTAGACCAGGTTGCTCAAAGCCCCATCCAACCTCGCCTTGAACACTTCCAGAGCATCCTGAGGCATCTACAACTTCTCTGGGCAACCTGTTTGAGTGCCTCACCAACATAATAGTGAAGAATTTCTTCCTAATATCTAATCTAAATCTGTCCCCCTTTTTGTTGTCACCACATACCTTAAAAAAAAGCCCCTCTCTGGATTTATTGGGCCCCCTTTAGGTACTGAAAGGCTGTTAGAAGGTCTTCTGGAGCCTTCTCCAGGCTGAAAAACACCAGTTCTCTGAGGCTTTCTTCCTAGGAGAGTTCTTCTAGCCCTTTGGTCATACCCCTGGTCCTCCTATAGACTTGCTCCAATAGGTCCATGTCTTTCTTATATTGGGGGATCCCAGAGCTGGATGCTAGTACTCCAGGTGGGATCTCACAAGAATGGAGTAGAGGGGGAGAATCCTCTCCCTTGACCTGCTGGTCACACTTCTTTTGATGTAGCCCAGGATACAGTTGGCTTTCTGGGCTGTGAGCGCACAGTGCTGGGTCATGTTTTGCTTCTCATCAACATACACTAGACCCCTAAGTAAGTCTTCTTGGGGCTGCTCTCAATCCATTCTTTTCCCAGCCTTCATCTGTGCTTTGGTTTGCCCTGGCCCAGGTGTAGGTCCTTACACTTGGCCTTGTTAAACTTCATGAGGTTGGCATTGGCCCAACTCACAAGCCTGTCAAGGACCCTCTGGATGGAATCCCTTCCCTCCAGTGTGTCAACCGTACCATATGGCTTGGTGTCATCAGCAAACCTGCTGAGGGTACTCTCAGCCCCATTGTCCATGTTGCTGACAATGATGTTAAGCAGTGCCAGTCTCAATGCCAACCCTGAGAATACCACTCGTCACTGATCTCCACTTGGACATTGAGTTGTTGATCGCAACTCTTTGTGTGTGACCATCCAGCCGATTCCTTATCCACAGCATGGTCCCTCTGTCAAATCTATGCCTCCAATTTGGAGACAAGGATGTTGTGCAGCACAGTTGTTGTGTTGAGCCATGGGTGTAAGGAGCTTGTGGTTTGTGAGATCCCAAAGTGTGTTGTGCAGTTTTTATCACATTTTTTTTATCTTTTTGTATTTATTTTCCTCATGTTTAATTTGTCTTAATTTTTAACATGTTCTCCTATTAGCTGCTTTGGTAGTGATGCTTTAGGCAGGACATTCTTCTAATTGAGAACATAAATGTGGCACTTTACTGAATACAATTATGTGATGGTAAACCTGGTACTGATCCTTTGAGAAAACTATTTTTTTTAAGTATCTTAGGAAAAACAGCTAAAGAAGAATGGGGTAATAGCAAAGCAACCACATAACATTACTGAAAATACTGTATAAAATGTTGAAAAAATAAATTACTTTGCTGCCTGAAGAAAATGTAGATGTACAAATGCATGTTAATGCTTCCTTATTTTCTCTTGAAGGATCGACGCTTTAATGACGAGATTGACAAACTGACTGGATACAAGACAAAGTCACTTTTGTGCATGCCCATAAGAAACAGTGATGGAGAGATTATTGGTGTTGCCCAAGCAATTAATAAGACTCCTGGAGGTGCCCCTTTTTCTGATGATGATGAAAAAGTAAGGTTATCTTTTGTATTTTTCTTTAAGTTTCTTTTGTAACTCAGTAGACTCTTCTTACTTAAACCAAATAAGTAAATGGCGCAGCATTTGTGTTAATGATGGCTTTTTTAGAAGTCCTTAACATAAAATGTACATTTCTATTGTTGATCTTGTGGCTTATACTTCAATTTAATGGTCTCCCAATCTTATGTAGTTTTTTGGGGGGCTTTTTTTTTTGTTTTCCATGCAGTAGATCTTAATAGGAAGACTTTTAATTTTTTGCAAACTTACCTGTAAAAATAAGTTCATAGAAGAAAACTGTCACAGAGATACTCCTGAGCTTGCCGAGTTTAAAAATCACCATATTTTTTTAGTCCTCTCCATCGGGAAAAATGCCTATAGTATATACAACAGAAATTTTATTTTAGAGGAAATGATCCATATGCAACTTCATGCTATTCTAATACATAGCAGACTTGCAAATGCCCATCAAAGGACAAAGGGCAGAAAGGGAACAGTAGATGTGTATATGAAGTGGAATTTGGAGAGTAAAGTGAGCTCAAGAAGCAGGAGGGTAGAGGGAGCCAGAAGGAAGGAACTTGAATTAAGTGGAAATGGAAAGACAGGAAATGGTGCTATTGAAGGCAGATGTTTTCACCTGAATGTGGAGGGGAAATGTGCACAAAGCCAAAAGGTGACTGGGGAAGGGAATGGCAGAGAACAGTAGGATGGGGAGGAACTGAACAGCAGTGCAGTCTGCACAGTAGAGAGAAAGGGAGTCTTCTTCAGGCATATAATAGGGAAATGCACTTCTGTGTATTAAAATAATATTGCATATCTTTTTTTTTTTTTTTTTGTGGAAGTGTAGTTAGAAGCCCCCAAAAACTCTTTGTGTTGATTCAAAGGCAGTCAATATTTTTTTGCTGAGCCACTGGTGATGTATTACATGTGTGTTGACATTTCTGTGCTATGACAAAACCAGAAATTAAGTAATACTTGCTGGAAGGTGGAAATCTCGTCACATTGGTTCATCTAAATAGATGGAGATAATTTTTAGAAAGATAGCTTGAAGTGAACAAAATGCATTATAAAGCTAAACTACCAGTGGTTTATAAATGATATGAAATATTGCATAGATCAAACTCCTCTTCCATAGAAACCATAGTAGTTGTATTTTTGAGTACCTCTTGAAGTTGCTGTTACATTATTTTTTTTGTTATATACTTACAGCAATACATTTAGAACATTGTATATAACTACTTCATAGTTTGAAAAAAATTGGTGAAAATAAGAATATGAACCTTTATATGAATAATGTCTGGTAATTGAATTATACCCTGGTTTGCTGTGCGGTGGGAGTGATTCAAAATTGATTGCTTTTTTTAAATTTCAGTATGTAAAGGAATCTTCTGCAGTCCAGGTAGGAGCATCTTTGACAAGTGAACTGTGTTAACAAGTGGCTGCATAAAAGTTGACAGTAAAAAAGGTATACCAATTATTTTTAGACCTTGTATTAATTATCGTATGTCTACCAATAGAAACAGTTATGAATAAATATTTCTTTATATTTTGATTAGATTATTTAGCATATCACAGCTTTCCTATCAAGTGGAGTTCTTGCAGCAGTTATTCTTAGCAACACCTACTTATACATGAAGGGCCACCTTGCTTGCTGCATGTCACTCTCTGATATTGGTGCTTTTCCTATATTATACTCTGTCTGATGTTAACCTCTTGTTCAGTTTCAAACTTCAGGTTCTCATTACGACCTAGCCATTTTGGATGCAAGTTAAAAGAATAGGCATGTTTGGATTGTAATATATTTTAAAATTCATTCAACAAATATAAAAATTGGAGGATAAAGCAGGCTGACAGTAAAGCAGGCTTATAGTTTAACAGACCAAAAATGCAGATGACTCAGCTCCCCAGTGATACATAATACTGTAGAGTGAACTTTTAAAAAATTTTATAAATGCCACCTAACTGTGGTTACTTTTCAGACCAATTCTATTAATTTTATAAAACTGAAAAATTAATTGCAAGAACAATACTCGTTGTGTGTATGTATATTTGGCGTCATCTTTTGATTAGATGTTTTTCTTCTACATGTGTTGAGTAACAAGGGAGGAAGTCCTTGCAGGATTGGCAGGATTACTTATTCTAGCACCACATTAAAGACAACTTTTCTGTGAAAAGCTTAATTTTTTTCCACAAAAATAATTAGCTTTTGATTTCTATTTCTGTAAGAGGCCTGTGTAGCTCATTCTGCAGAGTGATTTACTTTAAATAATTTTTAAAATAACCCTTAATTTTCAGATGCTACTTTTTCAGACATCTGACGTAACCCAGTAATTCTTACATTGTTTCTGGGTAAGTTATCAAAACTCCTGTAACTATTGGTTTGCTTCTGAATGAAGTCTGATTCCTGAAAATCTTGGATGCTGAATATTGATTTACTAGCATACTGTACAAATCTGGAGTGAATGCTTCAATGGGTATTTGAATTCAAACCAAACAAAATTAGACCTTCTCTGAACAGGCTTTTTTTCTGCGCTTTTTACTAGTACTCTCTGTGTCTGCATAAAGGGAACTTTATTTAAAATGGAGCCTTTATCACAGATACATTTGATTATCAACTAGCAAAACAACTCTATACATGTGCGTATTACATGTACATTTGTCGTAAACATAATGTAAATATTTGATATTATTAATGTAATCATATTAATGTAAATATTTGTCAGTGCTGAGGCTATGTCAATTTGCTTCCATTCGGTGGCTGGTAAATATCTCAAATCACTAAGTTGCCTGTACTTTAATTGCCGTTTTTATATCATTTTTACTAGTCATTACATTGTTGTTTTAGGTACAAGCCTGTATGTTAGGACTCTTCTATAATATATTAAATGGGTTCTGACATGTAGACTTTATGGAAAAATTAATGAGAACATAACCATTATCATGACCTGTAATAGATTTTAGCTTTAATGAGGCCTGGTATATCATGTCCTATTATTTCCAAAACTGTGCTTTTAAGTTTCTTCACTCACTGATAGCCTACAAAGCATGATATACCTCTGGGAAGCAAGAGAGCTCACACTTCCAGGAGAGCACCTTGCAGGATTAGCGAACAAGTTTGGTTTCAGTTTTGTTTGTTTTTTTTTTTTAATAGTAATATCAGCAAATGTGGTTGTGAGGGAAGGGGGCAAGCAAAACCCGGGAAATCCTGATCAAATTAAGAAAATGTCTGCTAGGATATTATGGTAGTTTGTGCAGAAAAGCCTGATGAATAGCTGGCAGAAGATGCAAATTCAGCTTTATGTTGATGTTACAATTTCCAACAATTAGCAGCTTCAGAGTGGTTAGAAAATAAAAATGTGAATTACTCCTCCTTTTTCTCCCTCACAAGCCCTCTTAAAGAAATGTCAGTGTCATTTAAGTCTGACTGGTGTTTACAAGTGTCTGTTCTCTCTTAGTATTGTGCGAAGCAGTTAAAATGGTCTGTTGGGCTGGGTTTTTTTTTGCAAAGCTACAAGACTATATTCTATAATGAAATGTCACTTGGGGGCACTACTGTCTTGAGTCAATAGGAAACCAAGAATTACATTTTCAATTAGAATTAAGTAGATGCTAGTATCATTTTAATGTACTCTTAGTTGTATTCAGGAAGTTAAAAGCAAATAAAATATTTAAGGTTTGAGGAGTCTTTATTGCTCCCAAGCTGTAACCAAGTTTGTATTTTGCAATATGTAAAACAGAGCAGTAGATTTCAATGTTTTTCTAGTTTTGATTATTCACTGCGAATTTTCAGGTTTTTCTTTTACATCTCTGACCATGGTGATAATTGCACAGCATGAATAATTAGTCTAAGTGAATTTTCCACATGTAGTGATTGTTTCCCGATGCCAAATTTCTTTTCTCCTTTTGGTGTAAGGCAAGTTTCAGCCAATTCATTATTTAAATGCAGAACTGCATGCCACCAGCATGAAAGAAAATGTTCTGTCTCAAAATGTGTTTCTCTCCACAACATCAGTGGCTCAGTTGAACAGACTGATTCCAGACATTAACAGTTTGACACAAACAATAGTAGAATACCTTCTTACTTTTGTATACTAGCCATTGATATTCTATTATGTTCGTAATTGGTGACCTTTTGGAAAATCTAGGCTTGTGATATACTTCTACATGTATTTTTCAAATAAGAACACCAGTTCATCTGCACAGACGTAGAAAGATTAAAACTCAAAACCCTTAAAAAGAACTGTGCAGCCTGCATGCATTCCCAGTACTGTCCTGAAGAATCATTTAAGTCTTTATGTTGTTTGCTGGTGAGTCATGCTTGTTCCATGACTGGTGAGAAACTCAGCCCAACATGAATTTGACAGTCTGTAGTTTAGATTATGTATGCCCTTTAGAGTCTTCTGAGATGCAGTACCAAAACAAATCTGATCCTCCATCAGAGAGGCTTAACAAACAGCAGAAGCAGATCCACCATCGCTTAGAGTGACGTAATGTTTTTTTAGCTCTGATGTCCTGCTAGCCCAAAAGAAGTGAATTGACTGCAGGGAAACTAGCCAGTGCAGGCAGCTTGAATTAAATTCTTCATAACTTACTGAAAAGCAGTAGGTTGGATGTAGTGAGATATCTCCTGGGAGGGGGAAGGAAGAACTGGATTTGTTTGTCTGTGCTCTGTGGACAGTTTTATTAAGAAATATATATATATATATATATCTCTATCTATCCAGATTCCAGGATTCAGCTGGTGTATGTTTGGTTTGTGGGGACTTGAAGATACAGTTCTCTTATGCTTCAACATTTCTATTTCTTATATTCCTAATAGCAGCTCTGTGATTCTTAATTGCCAATTTAGTGTGTTTTTCCTGGTCCACACTTGTTAAGGCTTAAACATATTCTATACAGGATCTACCATAGTGATGAATGACTTGCAAGGATTTTGTCATACCTACCAATTTGTTTTTTGTGTATTTTTGCATGATGACCTTAGAATTACACTGGCA